CTTTAGAGAAGAGGCAGGAAGACAGGCAGAGAGACAGACAGAAGTACAGACTCAAAATAAATATGTTTAAAAGGAAGGATAATACAGAGGGAAGGAGACAGAGATTCAGTCAAACAGCCTTAAGAAGATAAAGCGGATTTTTGTTTAAGAGGATCAGAGTCGTGCTCACAGATTGTTTTATTAAAGATATTTGTTCTGTTTTAATATCCCAACAATGAGCAGCGATGATCCCATTAAAGTCCTCTTGTTATCAGTGAAGAAATGTAAACAAAGTACCCAGAGCAGTAAATTTACCAGATATATTTTTCCATCATTGTTATCAGTGACCGCAACTTACACACATGCATTCACCTAAACAGCTTTTATAGCATGCCCTTGTCTCCCAAACAAAAACACGCAAGGCTCCGTGACTGATGCCAAAGATAGGCAACAGTTTTCTTTGCCCGTTTTCAGAAAAGGCACAACCATAACTCTGCGTAGGCGCATTACTCTTTGGATGAAATTAGATAAAAGGATATAAGAGCAAGAACCAAATGAAAATAAAGAACCTTAAGAAACCATCAGAGGATTATTTGTGAGTTGGACATAAATATAAGAGGGTCATTCACCGCTCTGTTGTCGTATCCTTCCAGATATGGAGAGCGGTCAGTAAGAGTTTGCAGGCACAGAGACCACATCTGGTTGCACGGCTGTGTGTGTGTGCGTGTGTGTGTGTGTGTGTGTGTGTGTGTGATGCTGGCCTGTTGCTGTATCCTGCCCCATTGGCTGATGAGTTGCTATGCTCGTCTCTTGTTTCTCTCAGCCCCAATCAAACCTGCCTCGATGCGAGTCGGCTTTTACAGTTTTATCAATCACTTATCGGGCGGATGAATTAATCTGGTTTTCCTGTTTGGGGCCCACCCCTAAAACAAAGAGAAGCATGTTAGGGGCCATGGGTACATCAAAGTTTTAGCAGCAGGTAGATACTGGAATAGAGCTTGAGAAACTAAGCAAATTGATAGGCTGAAGAGCTAAAATCTCATTATGTCAGTGGCCTTGAGAAAGGAGCATGCTCAGTGCTCATGTTTGTCATCTCTTCCTCTGTGAGATGTTACCGCAGTGCTTCCCAGCAGGCTTGGCACAAGCTTACTCATGGACATCTCTCTTACTGGAGTGATACAGTGGCCAGGCCGCAGCTGCTCAGCAGAAACCCCCCTTTTGCCTTTTTACCGTCCATTTCTCGCTTTTTGCCTCGTCTCTCCTCACAGTTCCCCTGTCTCACCTTTTCTTTTATTTCTGCCCTTCTCACTCTACATCGCACTATATTTCTGGCACACATTATCTCCTACTTTTCTCACTCACATCCTCTCTTGTTTCTATCTCTCATACTCTCTCCACCCTTTCACATCTCTCTCACATACTCTAGTTGCTACCCTTAAGACAGTGGTTACTATAGCGACAGCTATGTGCCGCAGAAACGTGAAAGAGCAGAATCCACCAGATAACTTCCCTGTTTAACACTTAAAGGCTTTCTAGCTGCTCCCCCTTTGATTTTCTGGGAGCTCACTGTAAATACCAAATTGCCATGCTTGATTTAATTTAATCTGTCTGCTTTCTGTGTAGTTAATGATTTGGTGAATGGGATTTTCTGAGCTCCACGTCTCAGCTGTGGGTGGGCGGAGTCATGAGTAACGCTCAGATTTGGAATCTCACTTCACCTTGGCACAGTTGACCTTGAGAAAACAGTCCCCTCCTCGGCCCGTCCAGATGTCACTGACATTGATTTGTGATATGTCTCCCCTTTAGGGGACCACACTGGCCCACACACTCACATAAGTCCTCGGAGATTTTTGGCCAATACTTCTCATCTTTTGCCGGTCATTCACACACTCGCGCTCACACAGACACTTACATACGTTGAAAACACACATGGAAGGCATCAGGACTGTCAGCGTCAACCAGATCATACGTGTGCTGAGACTTGGGTGTTTAGAACATTTTCCTTTGTCCCTCCTAAACCAGACGCTGCGGCCGAATGAGCAGTATTTTATTTTGTTACAATAACACACCTCAGTGCATGGTCCTCTGAGAGGGCAAATGCCCTATTAAAAAAGATTTCCGCAGGTGGGGCAATTTTTTGTCAACTGATGAAGAGGACATTATGATATTTTCAAATCCCCACGTCTAGTGTTACTTTCTTTCCTGCTTCCTCCCTCCTGCTCTCTTTATTTCACTCTTTCTCTTTATCGTCTATTGTTTTTGTCTATTGTCAGGACTTTGTCCTTGTTGTCTCCCCAGCTCTCGGCTCACTTCTGAGAATTACAAGTACTGGCACTAAAAGCAAGCAAGGACCCCCATACACACACACACCTTCACCTCTGTCCATTTTCTTGGCAAAAAAACCCAAAAGATGTAAACAACATAACCTAATGGCTGCCATTATGTTGAACAAGATAAACTCTCGTGCCTGTTAAAGGGTAGGAGTGCTGTTGAGCAGCATGAGTGTGACGATGTGCAGATATACTGCTATTAGGAGGGCTTCATCACACAGGAAAGCTGTCTCCCTGTTTCTGGGAGCAGCAAGGAGGAATTAGGAGGCAGAGATAGATGAACTGGGCTCTGTGAAGCATTTATGAGTTGGACATAGAGCACCAGTCAGATGTTTGGACACACCTATCCATTTTCTTTGAATTATTAGGTGTATGTACTTACATACAATCCGTCTAAGAATGTTTGGAATTGATTTGAGTTTTATTCTATTTTACATTATTTTGTTTCTCTGGACATGTTCTTAAAGTTGCGCTCCTCCCACACAGGCCCATTGTGCCCCTCCACCTCCAGACCCTGATCCAAGGACAGCCCACGACTGCTGAAAAACAGCAGATGCTTAAAGTAGTTAGGGAAAAAAAGAGGGAGAAAGAAAATGGAGATGCACATGTTCATGAGCAAATTTATGTCTATCTATGTCTATCTAACTGTGCATGTAATTGTATATATACTGTATGTATACATATGTATATATACATGAAACCATATAAAACCAAGCAGGAGGAAGCTGAGGTAAAAAGTATGTATAGTATGAATAGTAAAACCTTGTTGAATCCATGTTGTGAAATGCTGCAAAATTTGTTTGCAGTCTAACTTTGTTTCGAAAAGTTTGCTGATTTTCCAAAGAGCTGTGTATCAGTTCCTGAGGATTATGTAGTCCTAATATTCTTCAAGTAATCTTACATACCATCTGAATTAAGGTTGTACTGATTTTCATCTGGTGTTACTCTTCTTGATAACACCTATGGAACCTTGTGTAATGTTAGGAGAGGAAATCTTGCTCCAGATCTACATCTCATTATACTATAAGTTCACATTTTTTGTCTCCTGACGTCACATATATTCTCCGCTTTGACACATACATAAACCGCATGCCCACACACAGACATACGAGCCTGGATACGAGTCCCATCTTGTTGAACAGAGGTGGAGGAAGTGACTGCTAAGATTGGAGAGAGATAGGGTGGTGCAAGCAGCAGGAGCAGCTCTTCGTCACACCGTAGCGCCTGCCAGTCTTCTGTTACCTCGTCTGATAGATTAGATCATGGAGAGCAACCACTGGGAGCAGAACTGTATATAGGAGAGGCAAGAGCTGTTTGCTTTCGAACGAGGAAAAGTTCCACTTTGGAGGGTGGTTGGCATGTCAAATCTTGGCCTGGATTTGACCTCTCTTGCCCACAGATGAGGCTTATGCTATTGAGTGCACTGACCTGTTAAGACATGACCCTTGTGCTGCCCCTTTCAATCTCTCCAGCCTCCGCCTACTCCCAAGAAACGTCAAGAATCCTCTAAGGGCTTGATGGAGACAAACCCCAGGATGGCCCCATAGATGACTCATCTGAGTTTCATTGAGAGTTTCTGCTGTTGCTTAAATATTTCTTTTTTTTCACTCCTTTTTTTTTCTTTTTAGCCCAAGCAAGGCAGTGAGGTTAACTAAGAGCAATTAAAAAAAAAGAAAAACCTCGGGGTATGTCAAATGACGTGAACAGAGTAGCAGTAGCATTTTCAGCTGCGTGAAGAGAATATCAGTGGTCAAATTAATGATGTGATGTCCAACCCTTTCCAAATAAATATGAATGTGAATTTTAGCTATTCACGAAAACATCGCAAAGTCGATAAAAAGCTTGTTTCATTGGCTCTCCTTTATGGACTTTAACACCTGGATAACAGTGACAGTGAAGCGAGATCTACAGCCACAGACGTGCTGAAACTCGTCTGTAGTACCTCGAGAGGTACCAACAGACAGGAAAGGTGAGGAAGGGGAGCAGCCTGGCTCAACCGAGGAGGGTTTCGTGTAATTTTCTGCAAGGAGCTGTCTGTCACAGATCGCGGTCTGACACTCAGAACCTCACACACACATATCCACGGAATCTGTACTCAACAAATGTGAACCAGATGTGAAGCGCTCTGGGACCCTGACATCAACCTGGCAAGGGCAGGTCTCCACCTGACTTATCTGGGTGGGGTCAGCTTCACAAAAGGGACAGCTTAGCTGGTCCCAAATTACTTTTGAAAGGGCCATTAGAGAGGAGAGGATCCTGCCGCGGTAGACTATGCAAAGTTGGCAAACAAGCATGCTCATGGTGTTGGAGATATCTGTGTGGATTTCTCAGGGACCAGTTTCTCTCCATTCTTAGCCGCGGCTGCAGGGCCTGGAAGAGCCACAACTTATCTGACAGACGCAGTAAGGGAAGAGTTGATTGCTATAATGAATTGGGAAATGCCTTCCTTGTTCCCTCCCTCTTTTTTTCCCTCCCTCTGTATTCTCTCACAACTCCCCTCTTATTCCTCCTCTCCCTACCTTTTTTTCCCTGATCCCTCCCTGTGAGTAGGTGGTTCCTTGGTGGACTTGATTGGGCAGAGTCTATATAGGAGGAGAGACACTCTAACAGGCTCAGAGTCTGGTGGTGCCCACTTGCCACACGTTCCAAAAAGGACTACCATTTTTTTCCCCCTTCTGCTTGTTTCTGGAGAGGATTTACTTTGTTCTGACAGCATGACGGAGAACAAGAGGAAAGATAAGAAAGGGAGAAAGAATAGGGGCAAGAAAGGACAAAAGGAGAAGGAGGGCGATCCCACAACAGGTAAAATGACATTGATTTAGTTTCCGTGTAACTCTGTCAGACAGAGAAAAGGGTGTCAATGAGCTAGACTTGGAGAAAATGACAAGTTTAAGTTTGTGTTACTGTATTGCGGAAGTGTGGAGCACAGTAAGTATCCCCTTTCTTGTCTAAACTTGCCACCAGATTGTCACATGAATTGATCTGTCTGTGGTCAGCATGAAAGAGGTTCATCTGGTTTTTGGCAGCTCTAAGGTTCCCCATTGAAATCAAAGAAACAATCTGTGTACAACCCAGAACTTTTAAAACAAGCCTTTAAACTCAGAGCAGCATTTGTGTGGAGCTTTTCTGAAAATGTGCATGTTTTCTCTCACATGGCAGGTTTGAAAAACTTTCTGTCAATGAAAAAAAGAAGAAACTGTGTCTCCTTAAGCAGTCTTTGATAGAGTTAATGTTTTAAGGCCGTTATAGTGTTTTCACTGCTCATCTTAATTGTAAATCCGGTGAGTCATCAAAGAGAAAAGTTGGTATTTCTTTGCTTGAAGCTGCTCTGACATAGAATAGCACTGGAACAGTTTCTTCTCTCAGGTTCGCAAAGGTAGCAATGTGCTCGCGCAGTAGTGGATTCTACAAGCTGAAGCATGTCACTGTAGTTTGACCTGAGGTCATTGGGAAACTCATCCCCCATTTCACTGACACTTTAAAGACAATAGCCTGTCCATTACAGTAGTTTTTATAGCTTCCACTCTCTTGTGTTCCTTTTTGACTCTTGGTGCCGAAAACACCAGAGCAACCGGCCATACAAACCCTCCAAACACATTCCTTGTTTGATGAGATGTTTTATCTTTGATGAATCATCCTGATAAACATTTTGTACCTGGTGATGTCACCTCTGTCAGCCTCCAGCAGATGAATCTTGATGCTGGATATGATGGATATGACGTTCTCAAAAAATGTGATGTTTCTTTTGGCATTTTGAAATAGTTTAGCCTTATTAACATTGAATCAACAACTGTAGGTGCTACTGACATTTGCATTGATGCTACTGTTTTACACGCATGCAAAGTTCATGCGTAAAAATAACCACCAGCCCTCATTATGAGTCGGATTGTGATCTAAAAAAATTCCACATAAACAACTCCTAAAAATACACTTCATGTAAAGTGTTTAACCAGTCTTATCCTTTTTTCGGTTTCTCTCTCCATCATCTGCAGCAATAATTTGCCTATGCTGGTTTATTTTTGCTCTTCCTTCCTGATATAGATAAACAATGTTAGCCTGTTTCTGTATTGTGAGTGGCACGAGTCATTCATGGATTCTAATGTCATGTCTTTTAAAAGTATGAGCATGAGTATCATGATCTGAATTAGAAAAAGAAAATGTTTGTGGCTTAATCGATCACCAACATATTACACGTATGAAAACGATGATTCATTTAAAAGTATTTAAGAATTTAAATGTCATCACTGTGTTCACACCATACTTAGTCTTTTTATGGCCAAACAGACAAAAAAGATCTTTCGTAATTAGGAGAAAAGAGGCACAGTTTCAGGGATAAGATTTTCCTAATTCAATACAGTTTACAGGATATTATTTCATAACCTTATGGATAATGCAGTGTTATACAATATGCTGTTTGCGTGCATGTGTACACGTGTCTGTTTGAATGAGGCGTGTCAAATCATAATTATATGTAAACACGAGCAGTCTCTCGAGACTGTCACTCAATCATCAAAGACTCCACAGGAAAACAAGACAAGCTTGTCTCGTGTTCCTCACATATCTTGAAAATTTAGCTCAGCACAATAACTTGAGATACCAGATTAAGCGATTTTATTACTTCCTTTCACTGAAAGTAATGAGATTTTCAGGATTTGGACCAGGAGCTGTTTCAAAGTGTTGATTTAGGGTATACTGCTGCATGGTTACATGATAATTTCCTGTCAGTTTTTTTTCTTCTCAAAGCTGCATGTATTGTGGCCGTAAGCTAATACTCCAGAGAAAGTTGCATGACTCCTGAAACAGGCCCAGGGTTAGAGATGGAGAAAAGCTGTGCAAAACCTTGTAGTAGCTGTAGTAGTTTAACTGTAATTAGATATCTCTGTGCAGTCTGCTTGACCTACATAAAGATGCTGTTGCTTGATGATGGTATAATTCACAAACGTGCCCCTCCTTCTCATTTTATGTCAAGACAAAACATGACAAGTTTCCTTCTGCATGGATGGGTCTGTGTGCACAGTGAATGTGATGGTAATTAGGGCTGTATGCAGTTGCTGTCTTTATTTTGTGCTTTTTTAATCACATACACAAATCTGCCACACCTCTAATTTTCTTACAAAGCTACATGAATTATACAGCAGCAAAATGTTTCCTGGAGACCAATGGGCAGATCAGACAGTCATGAAAGCGCGGTTGTACATCTTGTAGCTGCTTTTACAAGAAGTTGGATGACGTTTCTGGCTACACTGAAGTAGGCTGAAAAGCTTGCTTGTGCACTTTCACTCTATAGGGACTGTGCCTTACTTTAGCATTTGTCAGGTGAGCTATTGAAAGAAATTCGACAGACAAATTATGGTCAATCTTTATCTTCAGGTGGAAATTGCAAGTCTTTTTTAAAGTGCGGTCTGGCACTCAAAGTGCTTTTACACGACAAGTAACTTTCACCCATTTACACACGCATCTTATTCTGTATTGTGTCACGAGCAGCACTGTGCTCTTCCTGACACTCAGTCGTATGCTGGAGGACAGTTAAAATTGGACTGGATGGACATGGGTTCACTTTCTTGAGAAAAATTTCAACATGTGGCATGGGTGGGGCTGTAGAGTAACAAACCATCGACCCTCTGATTGGCAGACAGCTGCTCTTTCTCCCAGCATAAAGCCTGATTTTATCTGTTACATACATTATCAAATATATATATATATATATGTTTTTGTATAACATACAATTGTGACATTGATATGTTTTTTCAAGATTTACAGGAGCATGTTTCATAGTTATAGTGTGCATATACATGTCTGTTATGTCTGCAATGTCAGTAACTCAGGTTAGAAGACCAGCCAATTTACACAATAACCATGACCACCTGGAGTTTTGTTGGGCTTTATTCTGCTTTGGTTCTTCTCAGTGGAATAAACTCTACAAATGCAGACTGTCGTCCTCCGAAAACCACGGAAAACATGCGTGTGATTAATTGTATGTGAAACCTGTAACTAATTGTAAAAATGGTGATTATGATGCTGACAAAAACTGATGACAGTTGATTTTATCTACCTTCTATTAATAGGAGAGGTACCTGTCTGTTCCGTTATGCAAACTGGAAACTCTGAGGTCTTTTTTTACAAAACTCTTGATTTAATTTCCTTGTCTGGAACCACAGACATTACATATGTTACAAAGAACGTGCTTTTCTTGTAGGATTCACAAGATCATAATCTAAACTATGTTTATGATCAAATATCATCTGACAAAACAGGATTCCATACAGGCAGCGATAGATGTGTTTTAGATTTGGCAATAGTCATCGAGTAGTGCAGCTTCCAGAGAATGTATGTTTATACAGATTCGAATGATGTCAGTGGAAAACAAGATTCCTGTGAAAAAGAATAAATAGGGTTTATTAAGAGCAAAGAACAGCAGTGAGAACTTTTCAGCTTTCATTTTTGTACTAACTGCCTTTGGCAGGAGTTTCATAATACCAACCGATTCCACTCCATTGATATGATGAACTGATAATACACGCAAACATCTTTTTCCCAAAAAGTCTCAAAGGGATTTTTTTTTACAAACTTTCTCGTCACATCTGAATTTGCCTTTAATGCATTGATAATGTATGATGTATGATGATGTAATTTATGTTCATTTTAATTATGACATCTGGTGGAACATTGTTTTGTTGAAGTTGGAAAAAAGTTAGATACCTTAAAAACTAGGAGAATAATCAATGTGGTATCACACATAGCAAACGTGGGACTGAATCTTATAGGTGACAAGGCAGAGTCACTTTATATTGGGATTTAATTGAATTGAACTTAGTTTAGCATTCAAAGTTGCTCATTTCCCCCCCACAAAATAAGATAAGCCCTAGATGGCATATAATCTTTATTATTACATTATTATTGATTTTTCTTACAAGACTGCTTTTTAAGCATATTAAAAAAACTTGTTTGAATTTAACATAGTTTCTCTGAAAATTAGATAGATAAAAAAGTTAGTTTTGCAGAAAATGGAAAGTCATGCAAAGTGACAAAAACATGATACATTTTAACATTGATTTCATCAGGACCCAAGCAATCAATAAAAGAATAAAAACAAAAGTAAAGCTATTATATTAGACGTACCAACACTCAGCCAAGAACTTACACATCTTAAAAAATGCTTGACTATCAGAGAGATGCTGCTGTTTCTTTAACTTCAGAAGAGCAGACTTCACACAGTTGAACATTATCCATATCTGTCGTTCAGCAGATCCTACATTAGATTATCAACTCCAAACAAATATAGTGATCAGAGGCTCATGGTATTCTCTAAGAATCTCACTATCTGTCAAGATGGGTGAGAAAGATATATTGAGTGGTCAATATTTGTGCTTGCTTTGCAATCTCTCTGCATGCAACAACCCTGATTAACATCAAAAGCTGGGAATGGATTTGCCATAGTCCTAGAAATGAGAAATAACAAAAACAGTTTTCCCTTTGAATATTGTTGTAATTTCTATAAAGCTCCAAAAACGTGCTGTTGGAAGAAAATGGTAAAGTTGCTGTTGTTCTCTGGATCCTCTGAAAGGCAACAATTCTCAGAATGTGCAATTATTTGGTAAGAGTGCATTGGTTTTGTTGAGAGACTATTGAAATGATGTCTTTTAACAGATGTTTTGTTGTAGTATGCAGTGTATAGCGAAGACCATTCCCACATGCAAAACCCATTTCTCTGGCAGCCTCACCATGCAGTTTGTCTTTTGAAAACGTGCAGCGAGGTGACATAACACCCCAGTAATCAGGGATACTTTGTCTAGAAGAAACACAAAGGCATGCCTTAAATTCCTTTTCTAAGCTCCTGGAAATGAAGGAGAAATGTTAACTCAATAATAAGGCCAACACATTGTTAATTCATCAAGTAACTTTGTTTTTGAACAGCCCTGTGGGCTGAGATTTCCAACTGTTACCCAAGGCATGAGCTGTTGACATGCCAGATAGGCTTCTATTCTCAAATTGGGTTTTTATAGTCCATGTCTGCAGCTGCCCCTGTGCTTCAAAAAGAGAGAATCAGGCTGTTGTTGAGCCGAGGGTTTATCATTACTCTCGGACACTTTTTCCACTGGGGTAGTGGAAAATGAGTCAACCATTTGTCTGTAAGAAATCATTGTATTTACAGTTCAACTCTTTATTTTCTTGTTGGAAGTTGTTAATTCCAATCAGTGAAATTAACATGCAGCATTAACTTGTGTTACGCAGTGGTAGGAGCAGGTCCATTACTCAGTGTGGACGAGAAGAGTAATCTCACCATGGTTTATGTTACCATGAAATATCTCTAAGCTGTATCCTTCATTAGGGCTGTATGCTGCATGGATGGAGCAGACCCTCCTCTTACACATCTGGCTCACTGGGCTGATGAAAAGAGCGCCGCTGTGTTTCTGTAACTTCTCCAGTCAAGGACAAAGCTTGTTTAATTTGCTTGGCAAGGACAGTCTTGTGTCTAAACATTTTTCTATATGGTCGGTGGAGCCTCATTCCTGCAGCCCTCTGACTATGACTGACAAGTCTTTCCTCAGGCGCTGTGCATGGACTTAGTCTGGCAGAGCCGAGTGTGTGTGGAAATCATGTGCAGGACTTCAGTTATACAGACTTGGGACCATGAGCTCACGCAGGCTTTAGGAAGTTCTGCTTTGCATGTTTTTAAGCTGTTGGAGAAGCAGTAGACAATGTATTGCTTTATTAGATTGAAATTAATGTTCGTGACAGTGTCTGAGGAAGTTGCTTATCAAACATGACACGAGTGCACATGTGTTTCCAAAACTCTTTGTTAGCACTTACAGTGGAACGAATACAGAGCTGGTAATTTTCCATTAGTGATGTGAAAATTAGAGGGGCCGGTAGTCTAAACCACATGATGCAGTGCTGTTTAATATCAAATCTCATGAAGAACATCACGTTGTTAAACAGCAGAATATGTTTAACGATTTACATCTGGAGCAGCAGTCTCTTGCTCTGCTGCAGGCTATCAATAAACCTATATCACTTGCAGATATGATGTCAAATGGCAGTATGTAGTATATGTTCAGTCTTTATAATCTTATGACTTTTAGCAGAACCACATTTCTGTCTCACAGCATAAATGGGAGTTTTAGTAGCCTGAACTCTTGGGACGAAGTAATCTTACAGTAAAAGCTAAAACAGTTGTAGCACAGATATCCATCTTTAGCCTAAGAGCTCATCAAATTTACTGAGTACCATATTGAAATGAAACATTCGCCTTGCCCTGACATGTTAGGATCTTTGCCTCTACTCTCTCAATGCCCTGAATATGATCCGTCACATTTTCCAGCAGGTTACTGTTCGTACATAAAAGTTCTAAATCTGCATAGAAGCAGGATAATTTTAGTAACAACTGGCTGCTATTGAACTGTAATGGCTTCTTTTTCATTGATCTGTGAGCTATTTTGAATCTAAGGATTTGTCTGCTGAGTTCCTGAAGGAAAATTGTGTGTTCCTTAGGCAGCCTACATGTGTATGTTTGAAGCAGCCGTGCTTGCCTTAAAAGTAAACTACATCTGTGTTTCAAACCTATAATTGGTGAATCTAAAATGTTCAGATTCTAACAGCCCTACATTTAATCATTATCAAATTAAGCTGAAATCAATAGCATTATATAAGCAGGCATTAATGTCCTGCTGTTACTGATTACTGACGAGGGGCCCTATAGAATTGGCTCATTACATCATTACTACATTTTTTCTATTGAAGAAATTGATTTTAAGGAGTTTGTGATGTAGTTTTAAAGTGGCTAAGAGTCCTTTTTTTGTTTTTCATATGGTAGAAGACTGTGACTTCTGACTTGGAGTATTTTTTGCCAAGTGACTTGGGGAGGCAGGCATAACTCGAATGTCAAGAGTGGATGAAATGTTGTCGGATATAGGACATCCTCACAAACTTGGCCAGCTCACCTAAATATCCACATCTACCAGGCTTTGCTAAGTCAATCTTACAGCCTGCCATGTCCGTATGAATTTGAACACAGCAATACATTTTCTATTTGATTATTGATCTATTTTAAAAACTGTCTTGAGATGCTAAAAGAATTGTGTTCCAATTCTATCACAACTGTCCACTAAAATCCACAAAGAAATGGAAAAGTGCAGCATCATTAGGGTTTTTCTCCATGTGCAGACACGATGCCTTTACCAGGTCAGTGAAGTAGGACAGTCACTCAAAAAAGAGGACAACAAGGGATAATTTCGATTCAGTTGCTATTTTGGTGTTTAATTGAAGTTAAGATATGTGCGCTTCATTTTGCTTGTCATGCTTTGTTTGTCTTTTTGCTTTTTCACTCAGCTGTCATCCTTTAGAGGTGATGCACAGCAAACAGCTGTCATTTGTAGGACAGCTCAGTTCAACATGTGCATGAAATTGTGAATGTTACACACAGAGAGAAAGAGTGTGTTGGGGGGTATCTTAGCCAACCCCTGGCTGACCGCTGCTCACCCCTTCTCACTTTCTCCGCCCTGCATGAGTCTTCTCCTAAACATGTGTGCAGCTGTCAGCTGGCAAATGGTTGTGCGTTTGGACCCAAATCATTTCTATATTTCAGATAAAAGGTAGTTTTTTTTCCTTACAAGAAACGACAGAACTCGTGAAATGGAGATACTGATACTGAATTTTACGGCAGAATTTGTGATACGCCACCAAATGTCCGGTCGGGGTGTGAGTTGGACAAGTCTTGCCAAGCACTCCTACACGTAGTCATGACCGTGCATTTATTTACTCACATGTTTACAACAACGTAGTTGTTATGGAGTCATAACTGGCTTTTGTTGTTTACAGATTATCTTTAATTGCACAAGAATTTATGGTTGGAGATTTTCCACATTAGCTGGTGGATGTTTACTTAATATTGCTTCAGCTAAGACAGAGTGAACATGAACTTGTGTGTCAGTCTGATGGGAAGCTGATGATGTCTCTAGTCGCCACATCTGGAGGTCACATGAGAAAAAGTGTTGTCTCAGTCCACGGAGATAATGTTTGGCTGCTTTCCTCCTAATAGACACAACTATGAACAAAGTCAAGCAAATAAACTGTTTTTTGTGGAGACACTGACTTTTTCTCTTACTTTTCTAGCTGCGGCTCCAAAGTTAAAACCAATCAAGAATCCAATAATAGTGGACGAAGGAAGAAAGCTCACAGTGAAGTGTGAGGCCACAGGAAACCCTCCGCTTACCTACAGATGGTTCAAAGATGGGAATGAGCTGAAAAAGAGCCCAAAAGTCAAAATAAGGAACAATCAGTGAGTATGAAACACCCATGTTGGGTAAACTGAATAGCCTCTGAAAATGATGATTGAAATCATCTTCACTTTTCTTTGTCTTTATGTGCATTTCTTCATTCCTTCTTTGGCATGTTGTGTTATGATTTGGTGATTATGCTAGTTTATTGCCCCTCCTCATGTTTATGTGACTACAGAATTCTTTCAGATTTAATCTTACATTCTATAAAATAATTAATTAGTATCAACTTCCAGCTGAGGATAACTTCACATTCCAGTGAGTCCAGTTTTATTTGATGGAGTCTAACAGGTGTCTCATTTACCCCGGACCTTTGGTTTGAAACACAATACTGTTGGATAAGAAACAATGATAAAGCAACACGGAAACAATAAAAAAGGAATGCAGTACAAAGACAACACAGAAGAAAAAAGTTTTAACGAACTGCTGAAAAATACCAACATTTCTTTTCTCTTTTTGATTTTCTCTATGAAACAATCTTTCTTTGTCTGGCTTTTCAGATTATTTTCTTCTCCAACATTCTTGTGTGTTGTAATTTGTGTGTGTTTTGTTGTGCTTCTTTTGCAAAAGGGTTCCTCTCATCCTGCGCTACTGTTACACAACATTTTGGCAAGTTATGCTCAAAGATTGCAGCAGCAGAATTGCAAGACTAAAGCCAAGCAGATCCAACATAGAGCAATAGCTGTCTCCAGCTTTGTTCCTCTTACATGGATGTTTTTACTGCTATCAAGTTCAACTTCTTCCCTTTTTGTTGAAAATTAATATTTAGTTTCTTGTGCACACTGTGACAAATGCACTGCAAACACGACTCAGTTACACTCAACCCATTTACTGTGGGCCTTCAGAAGATGTCAGGCATAAAGAGCGGCAGTGGCATCTTTAGTAATAAGATTAAAAAATAAAGTAATTTCCATACTCAATTCACATTAGCATTAAGGTTTGCTGATAATGCTAAAGCCAGCACTTGATGATGAGCTGGAAGCTAGCACTTTCATAACTAGGGAAGCATAACCAACGCAATAACTGAAATGAAACAAAGAAATCAACTTCTTTAATGTGCTTTAATCCTGTCATTACATCTCGTTGCCACAGTGGCTGCTGGAGAGCTGCAGTTAAACAGGCTTATGTTTAAGAAGAATAGTCCAAATTAGAGCTATAGTAGGCAGCGCTAAAATAGTTAACTTTTACTGGTAAAATAGTTCTGAATAGGTGGAGCTGTAAAACCAAATGTCAGGTCACTCATAAACCTTTTTCTTTGCCTTCTTAGCTGTCACTTCACACCTCACAAGTAAGTGATCATGTGCCAATAGTTGAGCAGAGCTACTGCCATCCTGTTGCTTGCCCTGTTTTCCACCTTCCCCCCCTCCATGTTTCCACTTGTTGCGTTTCCATGCTATTTCCTCCCTGCCCCGATTCCCCTGACTCAGCTGTGTGAGTGTTGTCACCCACAGGAAATCCTCCAGAGTCCAGATCAGCAGTGCAAAACTGGAGGATTCTGGGAATTACACATGTGTGGTGGAGAACTCGCTGGGGAGGGACAACTCCACTGGCACTGTTAACGTCCAAAGCAGTGAGTATTGACTCCGAAGCAACAAACAGAGTGTCAAAGATGTACTATCCTTGTTGTTATGACTGTTCTCTTGCCAATAGAGAAATCTAAAGGATCCATCACAAACAGGCATACAGAAAACTAACACGCATAAAGAACAACTGTCCACATGTGGCCCCGGCCCGTAAATCAGAGGTCCACTGCATTTTACTGGTCTGTTAGTGCAGTCTAAATTAAGCGTAGAGTTGTGATTCATTAAAGTTTTGCTGTAACAGCACAGCAGGCTGTTGAAGTTACAAATAACCCGTATCCTAAGACGTTGTGATAGAACCCAACAGGTTTGTTAAGCAGCCCGTGGTGTGTGTGCGTTGCTGATTTTGCAAAGCGCTGTTGCAGATGAAAGAGTTTTGATAACAGCTGCCTCCGTCTGGTGAGGTGGTGAGTTTATATTTGTTCCAACCAGTGTGATTAGAGCGTAGAGCCAAAACAGAAAAGTTTTAGAAAGACTATATTCCTATTTTTGTCTCTTTTTTCAAGAGGTAGTGCCGAACAAAAGATCAAGGTTGTGGAGACACATGTTCTGTTAATGTGCTGTGCTCAGACTGAAGACAGCAGGGATCTTATTGGTGGTGCACCATGTCTCCATTAACTAACTTAATATCTTTCAAGTTTTTTTTTTACTATTTATGAATAATGAGTGCCACCGTGAGTGGTTCACCCCACAGAGGAGATAATCTCACTTTTACTCCTGACCTTGACAGCAGGTCAGTTTTTGTAGACATCCCACACAGGCAGGGGTGTAGCTGCTGAGGCTGAGGGGGGGGGGGGGGGGTCTGGGCTTTCACTCACTGTCCTTGCATTCACATTCAGGCGCAATAATCACTCCCTGTTCTTTCTTTACATTTGTCAAGGCCACCTTTTAGAGCCATTGTTTACTGTTAGCAGACTTAAGCTGAGCTGCATTATTAGAGTAGCAGTTCTTTCAGATAAAGAAAGGACCCATTGTGTTTGGAAACAAAGATTCTCAGAGGTCCTAGCATGCAAGTTTGATATCCAGCAAACAATTTCGCAGGAAAGAAGTCATCCGTCTTGCGTTTGAAAGGACTTCACTTTGCCTCCTTTTTGTCTCTGACACTTAGAGTGCTTCAGTTGAGTTTTATTGGCAGATCATGTGACTCCTACTGTATGCCTGTTGTGACACTTGGCTTTACTCCAGTGTGATTCTGTATTTCTCCCTCACATACAATATTTAAAGCAATGGTGACGGATGTTTCAGCAGCACACTGTGCTAACATTTATGAAATATTAATTCCGTGAAGGATAATCACTGCGTAACAATCATGTTTAATGGCAATTAACTGAAACAGATTATATCATGCTTGACACCCTGCAAAAGATGTGGAATCCCTGTTGGTTGCACCTGTTTTCCTGAATATTTAATGAAAGCTTATGGACACGTGACTGGGCTGCCCATGAAATTGTATATGATGATCTTAGCAGGCCAAAGTGCTGGTGATGCAGAAATATCAAAGAAAATATAATATTACAAAGCATGAGCAAGTGAGCTGATTCACACAGAAGCCTTAATGGATAAAACACAACAGAGCAGTGATACGGTGCAGTGCTTTTACTTGCGGCACGCTCTGTTTAAAATAAGTTGAACATGATATCCTTACATCTGGTGCCAAATATGGAGCGTATTGGACATAGCCAATATTAAAGCACAGTCCTTATATTTCTCCCCATTGCTTTAAATCTCTTTCAGTTTCTCATTTTTATCTTTATCTTATATCAAATGTATCCCTGCCTGTCGACATAGGCATTTCCTTAAATCCGTGGTGGATTCTCCAACAAGGGAATCACTGTATTTGTTCCATGTGCTGTGATCACTAGATGTCTGTCACTGTGTGTTTTGTTTGTGTACGTGTGGATGTGTTTGTTCGATGTTCAATGAAAAGTCCATTGTGTTCCAAAAACACGCCTACTTCTGTCATGCTTCAGGGAAGAAGGCAAGACAGGGCGAAACAGGGGTGTCTATAGGCAGAGAGAGGGCTACGCAGAAAATACACACGTCATTTAAAGGAACTGACAGCTAAATGTGGATGTCGCTATGATTACCATATGCTTGTTAAAACATAACTTGGTTAGGAAGGAAGGAAGGAAGGAAGGAAGGAAGGAAGGAAGGAAGGAAGGAAGGAAGGAAAGAAGGAAGGAAGGAAAGCTTGTTTTGCAGGCAGAGCGATCAGCGGGTTTTCTCTGCGTGTCACACATATTTCTCTTAAAAACATCTGTTTGAGCAGAATGCAGTACTTGATTTTGAAGCAGAGTACATGGAACTGATTTTAACTCAGAGCTGCTTTGCATCATAAGGTCATGGGAGAAATGGCTGTTGTGTGAAAGGGCTGCAGTGGAGTGCGCTTGCCTGCTGCAGTATGTTGCCAAAGCAGCATGTAGCCGCAGTATTATCTGTGTATGTGTTCTTTCTAGGGAGGGAGAGCAAGGGGAGGGGTGCAGATGTAGATGGACAGAGAGAGCAGAGAAACGAAAAAGAGAGTGGATAAAGGGAGGAAAAATACAAAATGAGGGAATGCATGACAGAAAACAGACAAAGACGTTGGGGAGAGCGGGGAGAAGACGCAGCTAGTGGAAGGAGAGAAAGACACGGAAGGGGAAAAGTATGAATAAGAGGAAGACATGAGCCTGCTGTGTTGCAGAGGAGAGTTTCACATCCCTTTCAGAATGCAGTTAGTGCTTAGCAAGCTTAATGCGAGGCACCTTTTGACTGTATTCAATGTTTTCTTTTAGGTGCTAGATCCCTGTGTTAAGAGCTGCAGTGTTGCATCTTTGACTGTATCTCTCATAGAAACCTGCTAACAGTCAGTGAGCATGGCTGAGCGTGGTTAGGATCTCTGTGGGAATAGCAAGAATGAGTAATCAACTGTCCTGACTTGCAAGACCAGGGGAGTCAAATATTAAAATCATAAATAACAAAGTCACATAGCTGCGCAGCATAACACAGCAGCGTCGGTATAACCCTCATACTTGCTTAGAGAGGGGCACGTGGCTGTGCCTGTATGCAGCCTGTTCTGGGAAACCAGCACTCAGCTCCACCACATGGTGAACGCAGGCCACCACAACCCAGCAATGTACAGGTGGTTGATCTGACTCATGATGGGCGAAGGACAGATGTGTCATTTCAATCCCATTTGCTTTTTGCAAATAGATTAACAAGGAAAATATAGCTAAATATAGCTAACCTAGCTAAGCTCACCTAATAGCCTATAGCGAAATTAATTTCTTATTTGGGACTTCGAGTTGATGTCAATTGCATCAGTTACACAAACAGTGAAAGACAAAACTGACCCCCATGCTGTTGTTATATATGAGTTTCTTAAACATTCCTCAAATTAAATGCTGTTGCAACAACATGCAACATCCATGAACTCGGAGTAGAGTTGAGTGTGGTCTACAAGCTGCCTGGAGAGAGGAAAAAAATTGCCAGTGTGTTCAGGGCTCAACCTCCCCTGAAAGTGAACCTCTTTCAGCATTCTAAGGCATGCAGTACACCGTGGCTTCGTGCCAGCGGTGGAGTTTGCCAATAACATTGATTGATTGGACTTGCGTGCAGATTTCACTCGTGTCTCTTTGTCGGAGCACTAGAGGAGAAACACACACTGATTAAGTGCCAGTTGCTCCATAATCATTCAGCACAGATGGTTGGATGTTCTGCTGAGTTGAATCTTTAAGTTTCTTGTTATCAATGTTTCGGGCTTAAGATCCATTTAATTCTCTCCCCCTCTATTTGGCTGCCCCGACTCCGTTGGAGCTGTTTGGGAGTTTGAAACATGGGATTCAATCTGTGCAGCAATTCTTGCAGTCTTTTTGAAACTTTTTCCCCCTTTTTATCATTTTCATTATTGCCAATGTTTGGCACTGTGACATTATACATCGTATACATCGTGAATGAATATTTCCTGCTGGTTGGGAATATGGCATGTCTTTTCAGAACTGCCTCGCTAACCATTGCTGCCTTTTCATGTGTGGTGGTTTCAGCCTCATACCCAACCCCCAGTGTAGACGCCCAGGGACCATTTGTTTTCCATGTGGTCTGACCTCTACCCTGTAATCAGTCTGGCATGGTGAGACCTGCTGGCCCTCTGCAGCACGGTGTAGTATATCATCAACTGTTTTCTATACGGTCAGCATGAAGGAGCAACACTAGTCAAAGTTTGCTTGTCTCCACGTGGCTTCAGATTAAGGCGTCCCATTATCCTGTGTTGTGATAAGCGCTTGTGAGGCAGCCATGTGTCTGCAGGCTGCAGGTCACATCCTTGGGGGGTGCTGTGCACAGCTCCACTGAGAGAGTGTGTGAGCGTCCAGGAATGTGTTGATGGAAATCACAGCTGAACATATGATTGCTCCAACCTCAGTAGTCATTCTGAGGCCCACCAGCAACAATTTCGTGCATGCACGCACGGCGGACCTCCACTTCCCCGATCAAACAGCAAAACAGACGCAGACACAAACGCGCACACACCTGGTCAAGTTTTCAATATCTACTTTATGAACCTTCTGTAAAAAAAAAAAAAGCAATAATGATTGGGAAATCAAATTTGCCCAGACAATTGCAAAATTTTGTGCACACAGAGCATTTTTAACTGCATCCTGATGGAAGGATCAGTTTAATGAGAAAATAACTTCACAGCTTGTAGGGTTCTTGATTCATACCAGGACTTCATGTGGTTTATTACATAATTTTCCATAAAATAGTCTGACTCCACGGGAGGTACTCCAAACTGTTTAATACACTGTGTTATTGAGATGCAGAAGGTGAATAAATCCAAAAATGTCACTTCAAAAATGTCCAATCCAAGAATTTTACTTCATTCGTCTATTTAAAATGATCTGTGATTAAACTGGAGTAATCAAAAAAATGTAATTCTGGTTCTCTAATGGACCACTGGGAGACCCACATGAAAAGTAAAGGATCAAAAGATTTCCTAGTCACGTTATGTACAGTA